TGGGGAGAGCCCGGGTGGGTCAGAGGGTGAAGGCTCAGGGTGTGGACTGCGGAGCAAATCCTGTCCAGTCATTGTCAGGGCTCCAGGTTTACCACCTGTGGTTGAGAAGCTTCTCCTGAACCACCTTAAAACCCTGGGATACAGACAGACAGACGCAGACACACAGGCGTGCCTGTGAAGAGCATGCTGCACTCCCTCTAACTGCAACTCTGGGCTCTCCCATCCAGCACAGGTGCGACCCTGCCGGAGCCTTCACTCGCGGCCCCAGCCTCTGAGTTGCCCGGAGAAGGCAGGCTCAGTCCCTAGCCACCATGGGCCGGACCGTGCACTCACCATTGGCGCAGGTCTCAGAGGGTCTGCAAAGGCCATCTTCCAGTAAGCATCCTGGGAGGAAAGCAGAGAAAGGACTGAGTCAGAGCTGCCGAGAATAGCACCGAGGCTGCCCGGGGCCCACACAGGCTCGCTCTGCATTTCTTTTCTGAAGTGACGCTGAGTCGTTTGGAAGCAAGACCATGGCCCAGGCTTCAGTCACTGAAAGGACCGGCTTCTCCACCAGGAGGGCCCTCCTCGCTCATGCACTCACCCACCCACACCCTGTCTTTCCACCCTGCCCGGCACCTTCCAGGCGAGCAGCTGCAGGCTTGACGTGGGCCCCTCTGCAGGCACCTCCTAGGGGGAGCTGCTGGGGAGGGGGGCAGACCATGGGGCTCTTTCGGCATCATCCTCAGCACAAACCCTTCTGTGCCACCACTGACTGCCTGCATGCCCGAGAGGCTGACTTTGTTCCAAGAACAGGAGGAGGCAGAGAGAGAGCACTTGTGTGATGTAAGGAGATAGACAGACACAAAGTGAGTGTGGCGGCGGATGCACTAACCACCGTGGAGGGGCCGGTCAGCCAGAGAAGGCAGACGGTCTGCCCTATGCTCCAGTCCATCCTTTCCCATCCCCATTTACCCCTAATCCCTCTTCCACCTCCACCTACCATCCCTCCTGCAGTCACCACGCTGTTGTCGGGTCCATGAGTTTTCTCTTTCTTTTTCTCAATCCCCAGTCCCACGCCCCCCTCCAACCAGAGCTGTTGGCCTGTTCTTTGTCTACGAGTCTGTCTCTATTTTGCTTGTTATTTCAGTTTGTTCATTAGATTCTACATATGATTGAGATCATGTGATACTTGTCTTTCTCTGGCTGGCTTATTTCACTCAGCAGAATGCTCTCCAGGTCCCTCCATGCTGTCTCAAAGAGTAAAATTTTCTCCTTTTTCATGGCCGCGTATTAGTCCATTGTGTAAATGTACCACAGCTTTTTTATCCACTCATCTACTGGTGGACATGGGCTGCTTCCAAATCTTGGTGATTGTAAATAATGCTGCAATGATCATAGGGGTGCATATATTCTTTCAAATTAGTGTTTTGGGATTCTTTGGATACATTCCCAGAAGTGGGATCACTGGGTCATAAGGCAGTTCCATTTTTAATTCTTTGCAGTAACTCCATACTGCTTTCCACAGTGCCTCTTAAATGCACAGAAAGGACAGAGGAAGTCCACCTGCAGGAAGGCCAGCAACACACAGATGAGGGCCCATCCCAGGGCCCTGACACTATGTTCACACTCACCCCAGTGAGGGCCATGAGCTGTCAAAGCCTGATGTTTCCTGAACACGCCTTTTAGCACCACCAAAAACACGTTCCTGCCACAACATACGGTCTTCATTCCTGTTTCTCCAACTAACAAACCCCTATTCATCCACTAGGACTCAACTCAAAAGGGCCCATGGAATCTCCCCACAACTGGAAGCAGAGGTTCCATTTTCCCGAAAGAACACAATCTCATGGAAAATAGCATTTTCTTTTTTAGTCTCTCTTCAACACATCTCAACCTACTTCACCTGTGCATCCAGCTCCCCATTTCTCAGCTCTGCCCTTTCTTCCCCCCACACAGTTATTTCACCCTGGAGGACCAGAGCCCGGTGGGTGACGAAGAAAAGAGCAAACAGCGCAAAAGGGACGCTGCCCATCAGAGAGTTAGGGAGGCTTCCTCCAATCTGATTCCCCCAAATACAGAAAGTCACTTGTCCACCTAGTCTTAGCATCAGGGACAGGAGAGTCAGGGCCAATTAGCTGACCTCGGAGACCCCACTTGAGCCACCTAGGAGACTGTGCACAGATGCCCAGAGTGAACCCCCAAAGGTCTCCCACAAAGAGAGGAGCTGGGGCTCCAGCTGCCCCTCCCGGGCCCCAGGCTTTCCCCTCCCTGCCCTGGATTGGCCCTGAGCATGTCAAATGTCACAGAAAACCCTGGAGGGAGGCAGGGGGCAGGGGGCAAGGCAACCCCCCAGCTCAGGCCTGAGACTTGCCCACACTTAGGATTTTGTGTCTGTCATGTGGAGATGGCAGGTGACAGACTCTGCTAGAAAATCAGCAGGAAAATGCCTTTATCCGCACCCAGCCTGCTCCGACCATGGCTGACTATTACATGCGACAGGAATGAGACCTGCATCGCAATTAACTCTTGAGTCCCAACCTAGGAACAACAACCTGTCACTGGGGTCGCCCAGTTTTGTCCACTCCAGGGACCTGGAGAAAACTGTGTCAGGAAGACCTCTGAGGTGTTTGCACTAATTTATCACCAGAGCTTCAGGGTCCTGCCCATCTCACCCCGCCAGGCACATGCTAATTGCTAATTTGTGCTGTTATTTGCTCTAAATTTAAGAAAGACCATATTTCATCTCAAATATCAGCCACCTACGAATAGTAATTATGACCATAAATCATAGAGAGAAAGAAAATGACATTTAGACACTTGGCTCCACCCTGTGCTTGACTGGGACACACTCCTTTTTCCAGGCTGGCACCTCCCCTCCCTCCTCTGCAGACCAGCTTCAGAACATGTGTGCACACTCAGACACACTTAGACACACCCAGACACACACACACACTGAACCTTTCCGTTCTAATTCTGCTTCCCTCCATTTTCTCAGGTACTGAGCAGTACCCTGTTACTGTCTTGGAGTCTCCTTTCTCACTCTCATTGAAATGACAGTGGACCCAGCTCTCCTGCAAGTAGCCAGGCCAGCCCTGCCTCTCACACCCATCACTCCCAGGAGGCCTGTGGAAAGGGTTTTGTATTCCTGGTGGAAACAGTCAATGTAAGCAGAATTGCTCCCACCCTGGCTGGTTGGGAACTGCGTGCCCACACCTGACGTAGACCCCGCACCAGGCCCTTTCATTTCCCAGGTGTCCCCTCTGGGGAGAGATGCTGCTGAAGAGGTGAGGGTGCCCTGAAAGTCAAGGGACCAGCCCACCCAGCGCCCATCACTAAAGTCCTGCCCAACCACGGGTGAGACAATTACTTTCCCGGTGGTCTGCTCACCTGATGAAGGGATTGCAGTAACTCCCACCCCCACCTTAGGGTTTTTGCAAAAGTGCTGAGATTGATGCAGACACTCACTAATAGAGGTTTATACCAAGTCACGTAGGAAAAAGATCAATGTAAAAAGAACCCTCTCACCGAAAATGACAACAATCTCCATCTCCGATGAACCATGTGAGCAGGAGCAGTGACCCTGCATCTTCTACAAGCAGCAGGAAGATTCTCAGAAACAAGAGTATCCTCACCACATGTTCTCAAAACTGAGAGCTGATGATGCCACCAAGCCAAGAACATTTGGTGTCACAGCCAAATAAAACCATAACAAAACCCGCCAGCACATGGACGGCACAGTACATGCTAATAATAGGCGTGTTACGGTCTCCCGACAGTGACTTTCCACAGAAAACAAAGTCCTCTCACACTTGGACTTTCTGTGACTTCACCGTTTTTTCTCTTCTAGTCCCCAGAACAGTAAATAACACAATGTAATGAACTTCCCTGCACCTTGTACAGTTTTACTTCCATCTGTTGAATGGGTGACCGTGCACCTTTCGGGCATTATCTCGAGTGCTACCAACACCCTGCAAAATACCCACTCCCATCTTAGGAGGAGCAAATGGGACTCAGAAAGGTTAAAGACATGCCCATGGCCCACTCAAAACCTGGTTTGTCTCACCTCAGAACATGACCCTCCCCACTGCCCCAGGCTGTTCACATGAGGTTCACCTGGGTACACAGGCAGACGCCACACACTAGCATTTTTCTTTGAGTGTCCAGACCCTCAGTCTGTGGTCTCCACTCCTCCTTCCCACCTGCACCTGCAGCCCTCACTCTTCTGGGGGTGTGGCACAGACTGGGGAAAGGACAGCCATGTCTGTGCCATTACTGGGCAAGCAATCACATACACATGCACCCTGCGGGTCTCTGCCACCTGGGAGGAGGGAGAGTCACGACCGCCCTCAGGGAGCCCCCTGTGCCTGCACACTACACCTTACTGCAGGACTCCCACTAAGGCAGACACCCGTGGGCTCTGCCTGCCCACCCTGCCTCAGCCCCAGGAGCCCCGAGGAGCAGGTCCCAGTCCAGCAGGAAGTGGCAGGAAGCCACGTGGAGTGGGGCAGCTGTGGATGCCTGGACTCAGGTGTCTTCACCCACTGCAGAAAAAAGGAAGGTTTGGGCAAAGCACCTGTCCTGAGGCCCATTCTATAAACAAATTACCAGGACCACTGCCCCCAGATGCAGCCCATCTCAGGCATGTCTCAGAGCAGGTACCAGGACGCCCAAAGAATCAATGGAAACCAGCCCAGGAGCAGGGCGTCCCTGGCCTAGCCTTGGGTTGGGGAGCCCAGGGTGGGTTCCTTCCTTCCTTCCTTCCTTCCTTCCTTCCTTCCTTCCTTCCTTCCTTCCTTCCTTCCTTCCTTCCTTCCTTCCTTTTCTTTCTTTCATCCTCACCTGAGGATATGTTTATTGATTTTAGAGAGAGGAAGGGAGAGAGCGAGAGAGAAACACTGATTGGATGCCTCTTGTATGCACCCCAACCAGGGACCAAACCTATACCCTAGGCATGTGCCCTGACTGGAAATGAACCCCAAGACCCTTCAGTGCATGAGATGATGCCCTAACCAACTGAACCACACTGGCCAGGGCTGTCTTTTTGTTACTAGTGTTGGTTTTTGGTCAGGAGTCTTTATTTGGTGCCCAGTTTGTTTGCTCTCTGCTAACCTGAATCATTCTCCTCTGGGAGCTCTTCTTGGCTCAGATGTGTGGACAGCTGTGCTCGGGAAGCTGCAGATGGTGCATGTGGGTACTTTTCACATGAAGGCGGGTGCCTGAGCCAGCTGTGACAGTGGATAGACTGTCTGTCTCAGGGAAGCCTTCCACTGAGGCCCCTGCCTCCTCCCCCAAGGTGCCAGGACAGCCAAGACAGCTCTGGTGCACAGTGGTCCACAGACTCCTCAGACCCCGAGCACAATGCCTATCAGCTCCATGGAGTCCCCCGCAGGGGCACCTTCACACCCCTGTTCCTCCTGCCACCTTTCCTGGAGCATGTCCAGCGCCCTGGGGACTGAGTGACCTAACATACAAGGAAATCACTTCCTGATTTGTGGGTACACGAATCTGAATGAGACCTTCCACGGCCCCCACTCTCAAAGGTGAGAAGTCCGGACCTCAGCAATAATATTCTCTTGGTTCAGTCACTCCCTTTCCTTGGAAAAGTGGCATCGAACTACAGGTGTCAGCTACAAGACACTTGCTAATCCTCGGATCCATCCTCATTCCCTGACAGCTCACTTCCCATGGGGCAGAACGCCTCTCAAGTACACAAGGAGGTGCCATCCTGCCCTGGCACAGGACCCTGGTGACCTGACCTGCCAGCTGCGCAGCAGGAGGTGTCCCTCCTGGAGTGGGCAGAGGTCCACGGGAATGGTGCTGGGTGGACCCACACAGCGCAGGCTTCCCTCCTTTGACTGCCACTATCAGGTCAGAGGAGAGATGCTATTGGTCATCACTGCCAACTTGGGGAGCACACAGGCTCCCCTCTACTTGCAGGAGGAGGCTGGTGGCCAGCCTGGCTCCCACTCCTAACAGCAGAGGGGACACAAAAGCAATTCCAAGTTAGGTGGTGGAGCCAGTTTCACAGAGGCCTGTAAAACCCAGCTGATGTGAGCTGGCATCTGACAACATGATCAGGACATACCTGGCACCAGGGGGCATCAGAGGTGGCTGTCACTGGGACAGCTGGACCCAGGCCCAGGCCATCACCTGCTGTCATTATGAAGCAAGTGTCTCCATCAAAACCTGCAAGTCCCCCACTGCAACCATTCTGTTCACTGGGCCAAGAACATGGGGGATGCCATCCTTGTATAATGTACACCCCAGCAGGCCCCATGCATACCTGGGTCGTGCGAGTGCAGAGCAGGTCTCGGGAAATACACGCAGTTCCTCAGGACCACCTCTGGTAAGGTGTTTGTACCACAGTACCACCCAGCTTTTGTACAAAGAACATAACAGGTTTTATAACTTAAAGATGGAAGACAGAGTTAAGTAATGTAGACCTTACTCCCCCTCAGTGCCCAGCTAATTTCCTGGGCTCAGTGCCCACTGCCCCATCCCCACTGACCCTCACACCACCCCCACTTACTGCTGGTGCTTCTGAGTGTCTGTTCTGTCTCCTCTAAACCTTAGAAAAAAGCAACTGAGCTTTGACTTCAGGAGGCAGTTACTAGGGTGGGTGCAGTCCTTGTAGCTGATAGTGACCCAGTGACAACTTATGGATTTGGTTTCAATGCAAGAGTCTACCAGAACAGGGATTCCCACCAAAGCCATTTTATCTCTCTCCCTAGTGGATACACTGAGGGCTACAAAACCTGAGGTTCTGGGAATTACATTAGATTATATTCTTATATTAGCAAAGGAAAGGGAGGTATAGGATCTGGAGACCTTTTTTTTTAAAGTCATCTTCATTTTTAATATTCTGAGTATGGAGGCAGAGGGGCCAGCTCTGCCTGGTAATAGATCCAGGGCCTTGGCAAAGCCCCCCGTCTGCCTGTCTCCCCAGCTGTGGGTTGTGAAGACGAATACCCAGCATGCCCAGTGCATGTCACGTTAGCAGTGCCCTTCACACGGCCGTGCCGCAAGTGCAGACCCACCGACTTGCAAGTCCTGCGCCCACTGTGGTGGTCCCGGATGTTTCTATCAGATCAAGCAACAATGCACTAAATCAGGGCAGGGTGTCTGGGCAGAGCAGAAACCATGTCCACATGGGAACTGCCTTCTCTTGGAAGGAGATGCTGAAAAGCAAGTAAAAGATGACAGAGCCTCAGCTCAGAGGCGGGGCGGCCTCAGTGGGCTGTGCGTTTCATAGGAGCAGGAGCAACCCCGAAACTGGTGCTCAGACGCTGCTTCTCTGGGGCAACCTGTGCTGTGGGTCAGAACACCTCGTGTCCTGTGCCCAAGATCTCAGATTAAAGCTATGACTGCAACTTCAAAGACAAAAGGAAAAGAAAGGGGAGGGAGCGAGGACGGGGAGAGGCAGGAAGAGGAGAGAGGGGGGCTGCTCGCCCTGCCCTAGGACCTGTCCCAGGAGGGGACATCCACCACCCCTTTGAGTCATCACTGTCTCTGCAGGTGGACCTGTAGAAACGGCTGAGGGAGACCAGCAGGCGGCCACCCTCTGCAGGAGCCCATCCATGCTTCTCCACCCATAAAAGGGACTGTGCAGGGGCCGAGATTTGAGCAAATCCTGCTTCGGGTGTGAGAGGGATTCTAACTAAGTGGCTGAGATCCCTGACGTCAACCCTTGACCTACGCTCTTGCCCCTCCTCTTCCCTGGTTAGTAAATAAGGGGCTTCGTTAGAAACAGACAGCCCAGCCACACAATCCACACCACACAGCCCAGCCACGCAGCCCCTTCTCCCCTGCCGTGCTCGGACACACCGTGGTATGACCTGGGCACAGCCCTTGGCCAAGACATTCCCTTACCCAGCACCCTCACTCCCACACACTGGAGCCTCCAGGCATCTGGAAGGAACCAGGCTATCACCTTCCTGCTTTATTCTGCCTGGTCATAAAGTCTGCTCTTGAAGCCAAGTTGCACAGAGAACACAGACGATTGTGCAGGTGCCAGGGCAGACTGGTCACAGAGACAACGAGCTACTCACACGGGTCAACTGTCACAGAGGGACCTCTGTCTGAGGGTCCTTCCTCCCTCTGGTGAATCATCAGCCAGCTCAGGATGTCAAAGGGACAGGCACCCTGACAGGCAGTGCCATGCTGGCCCTCCAAAGCACCAGGGGGTTTCGGCTTCCGAAGCAGGAGGCCCCTCAGTTGGTCATGAAACCCCAGGGCATCTGGACCCCAGGGCTCCTTCCTCAGGCTGGAATCTGTGGCCTGAGTTGCCCTGGGCAGATCACACAACTGGAGGACCATCTGGATGCCACCCAGCTTCCTCTGGGTTTGACACATTACTCCAGCAGCATTTACGAGCCAATGCTGGACCCCAGGAGGAGTGTCACTACTTTAGGCCTGGGCAACTTACTTGACGTCAAGTTCTAACTGCGTGTATGTATGTGAACTCAAGAGTAAGAAAATTGTCCCAGACTCTGGACATTGACCGGAAATCTGTGTTCTGTGTTTAAGGCTCACAAGCTAGTTTGGGGA